ATTAAGAAGAGACTTGCTTGTTTATTATTGTTATTAATTTTTTCCCCCTTTTTCTTCTTCCTAAATCCCAATTGGTATGGTCGTATGGACGAAAACATAAGGATGAGAATAGGCCAGACCCCTTTGTAGGGGCCTATGACCTGGCCTAATTAAGACGTAGTTACTAGTTAGGCTTGGCTTGTTTAATAAAAAAAGGAGTTAATTATGAAAATGGTCTCTTGACTATAGTGAAATTACCAATTTGGTCATCGACTATTTTTTTTTTGACCAATTAAGTCCCTCAACTTTAAAAATCTTAACCAATTTGGTCCTCCGTTAGACTTCCGTTAACTTAGGACCAAATTGGTAATTTTGCTATAGTCAAGGGACCATTTCAGTAATTAACTTTAGGGGTGGCAATTCGGTGTGGTTTTCCCGAGCCAAACCATACTGAACCAATTCGAACAACCGAACGGTAATGGATTCCGAATTATTTGGTAAAAAACTAAATTGAACCAAATTATTCGGTAAAAAATCGAATCGAATCGAATACCGTTTGAATTTTTTTAATATAATAATAATAATAATAATAATAATAATAATAATAATAATAATAATAATAATAATAATAATAATAAACATTTACCAGAGATACTAGTGAAAATATGAGTTGAACGGAAGAGCAAGCAGCAAGTGACTTGGGCTTAAAATTGCTATGGCGTACTACGTCATCAACTACTTTAAGCTCCATATCTGGGAGGTAAGACTAACCTTCAAAGATATAAATTGGGATTAAAACTGCATGTATGGTTTTGAAGCTAAATGATGATTTTTGAATGCAATTTGTGGTGACTTGGATGAGGATATCCAGGTGTTTGAGAACATTGAACTTTTGAAAACCCTTCACCCATCCCACTCCTTTTGCCGAGTAAGTACGTATCTCTGTCCCTATAAAGATCGGCCTCCCCCATTCGAAATTGGCGTTGTTGATGCGGCAACTTAACCCAGCTCGTAATCCCCAGATTTAGGCATCGGAAAGTATGTGCGCCTCGAACCAAAGCTTTCACATCGGGCTGCAATTATAGGTAGTCCGGAGAAGAAAACGTCGCCGGAAATGGAGAGAAGCTCATCGGAAAAGAAAGAAAAGATGAGTAAAATGACTAAAATACCCTCATTATTTGACCTATTAAATTTTCGGTGAAATTTGACCGGCGTGACCAAAATTGATAGAAATTGCATAGTCAAGGTACTAAATTAACATTTTTGAAAGTCAAGTGTTGTAATTAACACAACTCCAATAGTCAGTGGACTAAAATTGGAATTTTTTCTATATATAATTACGTAACCATAACCCATCACCTCCAAAGTTCCATTTTATATTCTAATTTAATTATAAACATTGCTCCTAATCTTGCTACAAGTGTTCTTATAGTTAATTATCTATTAATTGTTTTTACTATTATAATATTTAATGAATGTCGCGACTTAATTATGTGAGTTGATTATTAACTATTTATGAGGTTATATAGGATAACAATTAACAAACAATAATACAATTAAGTTTATTCCTAAACAAGTTAACGCGCATGCTGAAGTCGTGACTCGTTTTATTTTTTGTTTTATGTTTTAATGCTATTATGTTTAAATTGTGGTGATATACTTATGTAGTTATGTATTAATTTTGTGTTAGATATGTTTTGTAAATTATTTTAAAATACTTATTAAAGTTTTTTAAAAAATTAAACATTTGACTTTAAATAGGTTCAAAGCATGACTTATTTTGAAGTTTTTTTAATGACGTACATATTAAACTATTTTTTTAAAAAGCTTCAGGCTAGACGAGACCAATTGTAGGTTTGAGCCTAATAAAAAATCTACATATAAATTCATGTCCGACTTCAGAATTTCGTAACAAATTCATGTCTAATTTTTTAAAGCTCAGTTTGACTCAATTTATTTTCATCCCTACGAAAAGATATATAGATTCTTGGAAGGCGGAGATCTCAATATTTTGTTTATTTATTTATGGGTTCTATAATTTTGGAACATATAAAGGGGGGAAAAAATGGAAAAAGAAAAGAAACGTGTCGGCTTTCTTCTTTCCAAGAAAGTTTTGAAATATAGATGGAAAACATAAATATAAAGAATAGTTGACGACAATGTAGATTCCCTTTTCCTTAGGAAACATCCAACTCCACAACGCTACAATAGTGATGCAAGCGGCCCAAGTCTCGATACCCAATAGGTATAATGTAGAGGCAAAAGCAATACTTATGCCGTGCAACCAAATGTACCATGCGTATGGTGCATACGATACAAAACGACGTCATTCTGATTAAAAACGCGCGTCTTAGTTAAAAAAAAAAATAAAAAATTCAGGTTCGATTCTCGGCAATAGCATTATTGTGGATATATAGTTATGAATTTCTGGATATATAGTTATAAATTTGTGGATATATAGTTATGAATTTATGGATATTTAGTTCATTCATTGTGGATATTTAGTTCATTCATGGTAGATATTTACTTCATTCATTCACTGTGGATATATAGTTATGAATTTCTGGATATATAGTTATGAATTTATGGATATTTAGTTCATTCATTGTGGATATTTAGTTCAATCATTGTGGATATTTAGTTCATTCATTGTGGATATTTAGTTCATTCATTGTGAATTTTTACTTCATTCATTCATTCATTCATTGTGGATTTTTACTTCATTCATTCATTCATTGTGGATTTTTACTTCATTCATTCACTGTGGATATATACTTATAAATTTGTGGATATATAGTTATGAATTTCTGGATATATAGTTATGAATTTCTGGATATATAAAAATGCTATTGCCGGGAATCGAACCTGATTTCATCTTTAAGTGGGACGCGCGTTTTTTTTAACCAAAACGGCGCCGTTTTGCAACCGTATGCACCTTGCAAGGTGCATTCGGTTGCACAGCATAATTTGCGAGGCAAAAGGGCAAATTGATGTCTCAAAATAGTAATCGAGCAAGTGAATAGAATCACAATTTCAATCCAATCCGCGGATATTTGTTCGAATTTAATTTGTATGATTCAAAATTTTTTGAGTGATAGTGAATCGTGGATCGAGGGTGGGTTTTAGAAAAATTAAACCAACGGTGAAATTTGCATAGAATCCTGTCCGACTAACTATGTGTGTGTATATATAACAACGGTATTTCAATCTTTTTTAATACAAATTGGGTTGATTTGCTATATTTTTATTTTTATTTTTATTTTGAAAAAAAATTAATAATTGAAGACCATTTGTCTTTGTATTTTATAAAATTTAAACGATTTTATTGATGAATGACAAAAAAAGTCATCCCAGAATAATACATACTAAAACTAAAGAAGAATGTTCTAAAAAAAAACTACAAGTGAATTGTCACCTATAAATCTAGGATCAAAAGACACTACTAAAAAAACATGCATATATACCGAAAATGATTAATATAAAAAGCAAATAACTTAATTGGCATATTTATAAGTGTAGTCGCCTTAGCTCATTATTGTTTTACACACAAATATAAACATTTACTTCTCCCAAAAGGTTTAATCGTCACAGAGCATTTAGAACGATGTAAATTACGCTTACTCAATAGCTTAGCATACAGAGCCAAATATTGGTACACACAAAAAATTTGTCTATTTTAGACGTAATCCTCACACTACCGCTATTAAAGTTCAAACCTTAATTTATTCTCCCAAATACTACCTACTGAACCAGTGAGCTAATTTCGTATGGGCTATAAACATTTACTTATAGTTAAAAGAGAAGTAGACTGATATGAGGCTTCAATTCAATTCTGAAGCAGCCTATTCTGTACTGTACCTATTTTTAGTATATATTAATATATAAAAACAGTAAGTAAAATGGACCTATGCAAATAATTCCAATAATAGAGACTAGAGAGGGGAATAGGGACAATTGTGCATTGAATAAGAAGATGTAGCACAACCTACCCAAAGTTATCAGCTTGGCCCAATTATTTGTTACTGTATTATGAGTCATTATCTTCCCAACTAGCTATAAGCACCCCACGTCCACAAATAATACTACAGATCATGAATAAATATTCATTTTTGTATATATTAAAAATATACTCTATATTATTTATATACTTAAAGTTCATTTTTTGATAATATATCAAATAATATACTTTCAATATCCAAATAATATATCTTCAAAAAATAAACTTTTAATGTATTAAAAAATAAAAATATATTTTTAAGATATTAAAAATGTAAAGATAGACCATAGTCTATGGTATAACGACTGACCTACATCTTGTTAAATATATATGTGGTTGATATCTTCTCTTATTATATTTAGTCCTATTCTAGCTCCTGTATAATAGCTATTAGGCTAGTTGTTGTAACTAATAGCTATCTTCTCTCATTTGTAAAGCTATTTATAGTTGCCTATAGTTTCATCAATAAATCACTTGTTCATAATCTTTACATGGTATCCAGAGCCTAAAATCTCCTACGAAATAAACTTTTGTTTTTTTTTTTTTTTTTCTCTCTCCCTTGCTTCCTTTCTACTCAATGGCGTCCACCACCCAAACTACTGTTCCGGCCACCACTGAAGTCATTCAGCTTCACGCAACTACACACTTCCCTATCAAACTCACACCTACGAATTTCCCAGTATGGCGCCGGCAAGTCCACGCTACTCTTGTTGGACTTGATCTCCTGGGATATGTTGACGGTTCCATCATGGAACCAGTCAAGTTCATCGATTCCGCGAACACCGTCGCTAACCCGAGCCATTTTGTTTGGTATCGCCAAGACCAAACTATTGTCAGTGCACTTCTGGGCAGCTGTACTGACACAATCCAGCCGGTCATCTCCTCGGTCACAACAGCCCGCGATGCATAGCAACGTCTCATTGCCAGTTACGCTAGTGCCTCTCGAGGACGCATCATTTCCCTCAAGGCAAAGCTCACCACAAATCCCAGAGGTTCTCGGTCCATTACGGCGTACCTCACTGACATGCGGGCTATCGCTGATGACCTTGCTCTTGCTCAGTGTCCAGTCACTGATGAAAATTTGGTCGTGTATGTGTTGACGCAGCTTGGAGATGAGTACAACTCCATTATCTCTGCAGTCCGCGTTCGTGAAACGCCCGTCTCGTGGGGTGAGCTGGCGGATATTCTAACTGACCATGAACGCCAGTTGAAGGTTGCTGTTGATACACGCCAATCACTATTGGCAACAGCTAATGCCACTCAGCGGGCCTCGTCCTCCCGGAACAACCAGCAATCGAACTATGGTCAGAAATATCACAATAATACTGCTAATTCCGACACCAACCGTACGTCTTGGCAACAATGGGGGAGTAATCTCACCTCCCTTCCTCCGTGGAGTTTTTCAAACTTTTTCGATCAGGACATGCACCTTCAACTCTGATGGAAGCAATGTTAAAGATGTTATGGACTAATTTAATTGGACAGTGACCCTGTTTGATAAATGGTTGTTAGTTAATAGCTTTTAGCTGTTAATTGATTAGGTTAATTAGATGGTATAATTAGTTGATAACATTTGTTGATTGTAGAAAAGTGTTTGGTAAATTAGTTGTTAGCTGATAATTGTTTGCTATAATTTTTTTTTTCAAAAAGCTAATTGAAAAAGTTGTTTTGAGCAGCTTTTTGAATTTTAATATTTTGAAGTTACAAAAAGCTAATTGACCAAATACTTATATATTGATTTTTAACAAAGTCAATTCATTAATAATGATCAAATAAGTCTAAATTAGCTGATAAGCTAACTATTTTACCAAACAGGGCCAATATATAGCATAATGGCAATAATATTTAGTGCATACTTATAATTTTTACGCATTCAACTAGCCTAGATTTTTACTTACCAATATATGAATAACTGCATGAGAGTTTTCATGATATTGCATGTGACACTAATCGATTTAACACCTTAATCAATGACGTACTTTGCAATCGTCCGTAGAGTGGTAGACTTGTGCATTCTTGTAATGGTGGTATCTTAATTGAAAAATGTTGAAAGTATTAGTAAAATTGACATTTTGAATGATTATTTTGTAGTAAAAATATTGGTGGGGTCTATTTTTAATTTGTGTTGAGTCAATGTAGATTTGAGTTTTTATAAGTGAAACAAATAAATTGATATATTGTACGCTCAAAATGAATAAGAGTGAATTGAAAATTGATTCTTAAAATGTATCAATTTGAGTTTGAAAAATAGAGATTGAATGTTTGAAAGAAATCTTTGTCCCACATTAGAAAAAAGGGATGTGGATTTGCGCTAGTATATATAAAATTTTCTTTTTTGGAAAAGTTTGAATTGTATAGCATGCATGCTCTCTCTAGTGTGCAGGAGGGTGCAAATCAATTCTTAAACTAAGTCTGAAAAGGTTTGACTCATATGCACCAGCAAGTTGCATAGACGAATATCTCCAACTAATAAAACACAGTAACCTCTCGACCGAGTGAACTCAGTCCGAGAAGTGAACAAGTTAACTCGGTGGAGTCTAAGAAGATGACTCCTACTTTTTTAGTTTGAATTGGGTTCTTACCTCAGTGTAAATAACGTTCTAGAAATGTGTTAATTATTTGGTGTAAACCACACATTGTGGTCCGGGTCTTTCTCTGTCCGTTTAACGGTTCAGGTCCACCCAATTTGCTTCGAGACACAAAAGCTGGTCCAAAGAAAATCGTCACTTGTGGGAATCAAACCCGGGTTATAAGAAATGTGTTAATTATGATCATTTTCAAGAATTAATTCTAATTAGAAATCTAAAAATTGACTTCGTCACGAATTATTTGTGGATTGCCCAAATCACGACGGTTTGAACTAACGATACTCATTGCAACGAGCGGGTCTGGTTCCCAGAACCCGCCAAGAGTTGAAAATTCGTTGCCTCATAGCCACATCGATACCACCTAAGCCACCACTTTCACTACCCCGTTTCCTCTTCGGCCGCAAAGCCATCCCTTCCTCAGTCGCCAACTGCCTGCTACCGTCTGCCACCACCAAAACCCGACTTCCCTCCGAACCCCTTCTCGGCTAAGTACCCTCCACCACCCTTTTCCCTTCAAAACCGTCGTTGAACCTCCAGCTCCACCCACGACCTCCCCATATCTCCCCGGTGGCCCCTAAACCAACAAATGAGCCTCCACCCCTTTGTCATCTCTTCCCGCACCAGCTCGTAGCCAACTCCCATATGGATAGTGATCCGGCACAACACCTGAGTCTCTCGCCAACCCACTGTACCGATCAATATGGCCTAAGACTCCACAAAAGAAACAGAACTTATGCAACAACTCATATTTAAACTGGACCCAGGACCACTCACCATCACGCTGAATTAACTTCATACGCCTCTTCAATGGCTTCCGCACATCCACGGAAACCCTCACCCAGAAAAAACTCATGCCCCCACCTATGTTCGTTGTGTCCAGCTTCAAAAGCTCACCAACAAAATTCCCAATCTGTTCAAGCATAGAGTCATCAATATAACCATAAGGCAAGTCATGTACCTGAACCCATATTGGAATCTAGAACAGTTCGACAACCATCGGCACATCACCGGCGTTCAACATCCTGCACACCAGGGAGGCGTTCTTGAACAAACAAGGGCCATCCTCTAATAGAAACCTCGCATCAGCTTCTGCAAAAAAGTCGAACATGAATAGGTTCGACTGCACCTCTGTCACCCGCACCCCCTTCGTTGGACGCCAGTCCGATGCGATCACGTTTTGCATTGCTTCAAACTTTACCTCCTTGTCTGTTTATATTTTTAATCATCTTATCATTTTTTAGATTAATATGAAACAAATAAAAAATAAATAGCAAGTAGTATAAATCAAACATATCTAAATTGGACCTAATAGCAACATATTTAAAATTAATTTCAATTAATTGGACTTAATAGTAAATAAATACAAATTAAATTCCCTTTAGGTGATCTACTTTATTAGTCAATGGGTAGATGTGACAAGCAATGACAAATTATTTTTATCATGTAAACCCTTAAAAATCAACAAAGTAAAAATTGAGATTATATTCTACTTTTACATATTTTAGTAAATGGAGTTGTAGACTTACGTGTACAATAAAGCGCCCAAATGCCTTCAGGTAAGCAAATTATATTGTGGACCGCTATAGTTTACATTGTAATATGAACCACTAATAAATATTCAATTTTAATATATTGAAATTTCATTTTTATGTATTGAAGGTTATTTTTAGATACATTATCTAAAAATGAACATTCAATGTATTTGAAATGACTTTCACTATACTAAAAAAAATGAATCTTATGTTAGTGGTCTACTATTGCTTTAGCCTTTAGGAATAATTGGGCCTATGATGTGGGCTCATATATAATGGCCATAAAGATTAACAAGATGGCGTTTTGCGTATGCTCCCATGTTGGGAGCAAATTATATTATGCACCGCGGTGCATAATCGATTATGCACCGCGCGTCTTTTTTTTTTAAATGAAAATTAATAGTGTTTATTTCCGCCGTTTCGCACCCTTTTGCAAAAAGTAATTCTGTTATTCAGTGTCATTTTGTATACACTGCAGTTTCAGTTGAATACAACTACAGTTTCATTTCGATATAACTATAGTTTCATTCGATATTTTTAGACTCAAATATGTGAAAATGTTATTTAATTTTATTTTATATACACTATAGTTTTATTAAAACACAACTACATGATCATTTTGATATAATTACAACTTCATTGTACAATATACACTCAAATATGTGAAATGTTATTCTATTTCAGTTTATATACACTGCAGTTTCATTTCACTATAACTACAGTATCATTTTGATATAACTGCAGTGTCAGTTTGGATATACTGTAGTGTCAGTTGGTATTTAATACACCAAACAAACGGACTCCGTTAACTCTAACGGCGGGCCGTTTCTTTACTTAAAGAAACGGCGCCGTATATGGGCCGCGGTGCATAATCGATTATGCACCGCGGTCTATAATATAACAACTGCATGTTGGGATAGTTATGCTATGCAACCGTATGCCCTCGGATGCAAAAACGACGTCGTTTTATTAAAAACGCGCGTCTCTCCTTAAAAAAAATAAGGTTCGATTCCCAGCAACAGTATTATGTTGTTCATTCATTCTGGAATTTTAGTTCATAGATTATGGAATTTTAGTTCATTGATTTTGGAATTATAGTTCATCGATTCTGGAATTGTAGTTCATTGATTCTGAAATTTTAGTTCATAGATTCTGAAATTTTAGTTCATTCATTCTGGAATTTTTAGTTCATAGATTAGATTCTGGAATTTTAGTTCATAGATTATGGAATTATAGTTCATCGATTATGGAATTATAGTTCATCGATTCTGGAATTTTAATTCATATGTTGTTGCTGGGAATCGAACCTGATTTTTTTTTTTTTTTAAGGAGAGACGCGCGTTTTTAATAAAACGACGTCGTTTTTGCATCCGTATGCACCATGCATGGTGCATACGGATGCACAGCATAATTTGCCCCTATGTTGGAGTTGAATCCCAGATTTGGGCCTCATTATAGAGGACCATGATCTCGCAATCGTTATACCCTACACCACGACGCGCGTAGCATTGTGCGTCGTGCGCCTCCCAAAACGATGTCGTTTTGGGGTCGTTTTGGGAGGCGCGGTAGGAAGTTGCTGTGATTATGTATATTTGTTCACACAATTATGTATATTTGTTTATACAATTATGTATATTTGTTTATACAGTTATGTACATTTTTTATACAATTATGTACATTCTTTTTATACAATTATGTACATCCGAATCAGAAAATTTGTGTATATTATGTTAAGAGTTGATGTGTATTATGTTAAAAGTTTATGTTTATTATGTATTATGTTAGATTATGTGTATTATCTTTTAAAAAGAGTATGTATATTTTGTTATATAATTATGTGCATTCATGTATACAATTATGTGTATTCTAGTATAACATTATGTACATTTCTGAACAGGGGTTTTTTTTAAAGAAAAATAACTGCCATACACTGGGGCGGGAAATTTAAAAAAATAATAATAAAATTAAAACGACGTCGTTTTGAATCTGGGCGCACAGTGCAACGCGCGCTGTGGTGTAGGATATAAATTGCCATGATCTCGCCGCGAGGCCTGGGCCTTGGGCTGGTTCGGGAATTTTAGGTGCCGTTTACTAACTGGAAATTTTTGGAAATTTTCGGAAACTAAAAAATAGAAAACAAAAAACATATTTACTAACATAGTTTTCTAATTTGAAAACTGAAAATAATTTCTGAAAATTTCTGGAAAACTGAAACACACTTAAAAACTGTTTTCGAAATGGAAAACAGAATCATCTATCATCTATTTAGTTATATGTCACTATAACCACATTACTATAATTACATTCATTATCATCTTATTTTACTTATCACTATCTTCTATCTTTTCTACTTACTTTACTTATTTAAACATAATTTATTTGCTCACACTTTAAAGTTAGACATTATTTACACTATCAAAATTAAGAATTAAACTCTATATAATGTTTTACATTTTGATTGGACTCAATAGATTATTAGTTCAAATATTTTTAATTATGTTACATCATAATAAAAGTTCGGTTCAGATATCGGATATTGAAATCTCACATATATAAGAATTCAAAGTAAAAGTTATATATTCATATGCATGACATTCAAATGAATATATCCAAAAAAAAAAAAAAAATTAAATATTAGCTCAAAAAATATTAATATTATCTAAACTAAATTTTATGTGAAAATTGAAAAATTAGAAGAAAAAAAAAAGAAAAAGAAAACAGAGAAAGTTTTCTGATAGTAAACAAGTTTTCTAAACATAAAACAGAGAATGGAAATTAAAAAAATTAAAAAACAGAAACAGAAAACAGAGAACAGTTTTCTGTTAGTAAACAGACCCTTTATAAAATAAAAATAAAATAAAAAATTTCAACCAAGATTTGAACGTTTACTCAAAGTAAACAACTAATGCATTTTCAATTAAGTCATTTTAATCTTTTAAATTAAGGAATAATGCTCAAATAGGTCACTGAACTACATACGAATATGTAATTGAGCCATCGAATTAAAAAAAAAGAAAAATTCAAACTATGAATATTTCAAAATTATGTAATTAAATTGAAATTGACCTATTTGACTGGTCAATGCTGACGTGGAGATTAATTTATTAAAAATTAATTTCTTAAATAATTTTAAATTAAAATTAAAAAAATAAAACAATACTCAATAGAAATGACATTTTTTATTCTTCCCAACTAAAATCATTTTTTCTTTTCCTTTATCCGCAACTTTCACCGCAATTATTATTATTATTATTATTATTATTATTATTATTATTATTATTATTATTATTATTATTATTATTATTATTATTATTATTATTATTATTATTATTATTATTATTATTATTATTATGAGATGAAGGAGATTCGCAACAATATTGCTAATTCATTATTGGATGCTAGATCATGATTATGCAAACAACTTTATTTCAAAATATTATTATTATTTTTTTTTTTTTGAAGACAAAATGTTAAATTTTAATATGTAAACAAACTAATTTAAATTTTATGAATATGTCATTTTTTTTTTGTCTTTTTACATTTATCAACTTATCAAAAAACTAATTAAACGAAACACTTTCAAGCATAACAGCTAGCTTAACAACTCTTTAGTTTTCAACTCCTAACTTATTACTTTTCAGCTAGATTTGCCAAACATAGCCAATGTGTTTAATCTCTCATAACAATCCATGTGTATTTAGGTAAAAATTAATCAGTTTGGACTAGAAAATTTTTTTTGAACAAAGATTAATGTGAGGGTTTTCCTCTTCGCCAAAAAAAAAATAAAAAAATGTGAGGGTTTTCCTTAAAATATGCAGATTCATCTCAAAATGATGCATCGAATTCATATTTATAAAAATGTCATTGCTATTTTTTATTAAAATTTCTTTAATTTTCAAAAAAAAAAAATTCTTTGAATTTCCCATGAGGATGATGTTTTTCATCGAATAAATGTTCTTTTTCCCCCAAATGATGCAATGACAAGTCTTGTGTAAGATCTTCTTGTGTGAGATATGTATTACTTTTTAGTTAAGCGTAATATTTTTTTTAAGTGCATAGAAGAGTATTACATTATAATTAAAAGGGGATGAGAATGGACATTTTATTTATGCTATAATAACTGTAAACTCAATTTTTTTTATTTATACATCTGACCTCATATAGTTCATGAATCGTTCATTTAGTGACCTCTCCCATGTGGGAAGTCATGAGATTGCGCCTCAGTGGAGGTGTTGTTGATTCTGTGTGCTTCATTAGGTTGAGAAAGTATGTTTAAACAGATACTACAATATAATAGAGTCAGTAGCATTCAGGAAAAAAAATAAAAATTAAAGTTGTAACCATATATTTCTTGTATGTAATATACATTATTTTTCTTTGTAAATTTATGTAAATACTGCTAAATGAACAAACATAATATATCCTATAACTAAATGTTTTCAAAATGATTAAGGAAAGCTAAAAAAAAAAAAAAAAAAAAAAAGTAATAATGTGAATTAAAAAAAAAAAAAAAAGAGGGACAATACTCTTAAGTCAAAAGTAGATTTTGATTTTCTTTAACCAAATATATATATATATATATATATATATATATATATATATATATATATATATATGATATATCCCAAACAAAAAGAAAAAAAAAAAAGACAATACTCTTTAAGTCAAAACTCAAAAGTATATATTTGGTTGATGGGAATCAAAATATACTTTTGACATAAAAGTATTATTTAATTTTTTTTATTGATAGTTTCTAAGCATTCCATAATCATTTTGAAAATATTTAGCTATATGATTATTCTTGTTCATTAAACATTATATACATTCTTCCAAAAGGTTGAACCCCAACCCTAAGGGCCCCACACCCCATTTATTCCATTAATGTGCAATCCACATTAATTTGAGATGTGGATTGCACATTAATGGAACACATGCTTCAATTTGGTATCAGAGCCAGACTAAAGGTCATGGGTTCGAATTTCTACGTCACCCCATAAGCGACTACAGTCCCATTAATGTGCAATCCAACTAGTTGAGATGGAGCACATACTTCAATTTTTACAAAGAAAAATGGGAAATAACATAACATAATAAGTGTGAATGAAGGTTATACCCTTTATTTATGCCCATTTTTTCGTTACATTTTTTTTTAATATACATTATGCTATAAAAGTTGTACAATACAATATTTTGGACAAAAAAATATCCCTACCGTTATAACTTCCGTTATCTTTTTCACTATTGTTACCATGCACATGCATCCACCATATATTTTCTTATCTTCTCCAATAATAATAATATATACACATTACCTTTCAAAATAAAAATAAAAATATACACATTATATATTGGAGTTATATGCAATCATTATTGTGTGGACCATATTTTGTATGTTATAAAATAATGTACATTTAGTACAAAAATAATGTGTTTTTAGTATATTAATAATGTACATTGTATTCATGGAAAGTACATTATTTGAGTACTGAAAGTATATTATTTTGTATAATGTATATTCAATACACAAATAATGTACATTTAGTATGTTAAAAATATACTTTTTGTTATGGTCCACACAATAATTTGCCAGTTATATGTTAGTTATTTCTTAAAATATAAATATTAAAAATATTAAAATGTTTTACATTATTATTATTATTATTATTATTATTTACAATAATTTAAATATCTAAAATCTAAATAAATCCAAAATTTAATATAGAGTACTAATATTGGGCACCTATATTTGCGCATTGTGCATATATAGAAAATACTATTATATTAAATACAAGAAATGGTTTGAACTTCAAAACTTATTTGATTTATTCTTTCCAAAAGGTTGAACTCCAACCCTAAAGCCCCACACCCCGGCCCTTGATTTATGTTTTGTTGGGAAGATAATAAAATTCTAAATTTACCTTCAATCACCTTTAATTTTAACATAACTAACTTTGTGGTGGGAGACTAAAATATTTACTAAACAAACAATTTAGGAACTAAATGTAATCATGGCCTCATGGGTATAAATAAAGGATTGAGTTTAATTAATAGTATAGCATAATTGAAGGGCTAATATAGTCATTCTCCCTAACTAAAAAAAATACTATGCATCTCATACAAGACTTACTCCTACAAAATTTTCTTTCATAAATACTAATATTAGTATTTAATGTTAAATTAAGTATGATTATACTTGTATTTAATGTTAAATTAAGTGTATTATTTATATTTAATGTTTGTATTTTGTAATCATAGTATTATTAATTCGACCCTATATAAATAAACGTATAGTGTATATATATACAATATATAATTAACATTTGTAAATATCAATTTAACTCTGTATAAACTTTTAAAGTTAATAAAATATAAACTATGTGTAGATTGTATAATAAACATTATATAATTTAATATGTAACCGGCAAAATTGATTATGATTACCGAATATGTAGTAAGAAAACTGAGAAAGATGATCTAGGAGTACCTTTCCCATCTATTTTTAGGATGTTTTAATAATTTAAAAAACATAATAACTCTCAATCAAAGTTATATCTCTCATTTATATCCGTATTTTTAATGTTAACTATTTTATTGTGCCTTTAGAGTTGTACTATACAATATTTTAGACAAAAATATCCTTACCGTTATAACTTCTGTTATTTTTTCATTACTTTTACCATGCGCATGCATCTACCATATCTTTTCTTATATTCTTTAATTATAACAATATTTGTAAAACATTATATATTCGTTATATATTAGATTAATATAATAAATAAATTTTATTTCACTTAGATTTTAATTAGTAAAAATTTGTTAGTTATTTTTAAAAATATAAATATTGGGCATATGTTTTTACGTATCACGCATAGAAAAGACTAGTAATAATAATAATACAATAATGAGATGACAAAAAATTAAGAAACCAGACTAAGTGCTATAAGCAAAACAAAATCAGGAATGTAATATAACAAAATTAAAAGAATAAGATTAAACGTAACACTACTACAATAGTCGGGGACTAAAGACAGAATTTGGCATGTGTGTGTGAAGCTAGGATGGAAATAAGCAATGAGAAGGTGATGAATGAAAGGGGGCTATCATATATGTACCGCAAAAACATTTGTGACCAACCATTAATTTTGGATACAAAAATGTACGTCCCTTTCTTCCCTTTCTCAACGTACTACTTCATTTATTTCATCCAGCTGCTCTCCAACAAATTCCACACGACAAAATATATTACACCCAGCAAATTAAACATATATGATGCCCGGCCTTATCAACATCATATCGACACTTCCCCATGCTGCGCTATCCCATACGTCGCAGATCAGATACCCTTATCATCATCATTACCTAATTCCATCTTTTATTCAATTCCTACAATATATATATATATGTATCTTAGCTTATTATTATTGAATATACTCATCATCATCATCATGCTTCGTCTTTTGGGTCTTTCTTCCAAGAACCTAAAACCATCTTCTCAACTTTTTGCCTTGTCGTCTCCATTATTTCTGCACTTTCCTCTCTTCCCTGCTTCTTGTACGCCTCAAAGAACTCTTTGTTCTCTTTCTCTAATTCCTTCCACACTACATACATATATATATATGTTAAATTACACTTTTTTTTTTTTTCTGTTTATAGAATAAAAATCTCATAAATTTAATTTATTGGGTATACAGATATCGAGTTTGTAGGAGTGTAGGACCAAACATCGGCCAAAAGAATTTTTGGATTGGGAGATCAAATCAGATATTATTTTATGAATGAACCACACATAAACGTAACGTACTACCACTTGTACTATACATTGTGTATCATTTTCCTTAAAAAGCCAGCCCGATTCAGTTCATTCTGTAAAAAGGTGATCCAATCAAAGGAAATATTATTATTTGTAACTATAAGCTCACGAGTTCAAATTTCAACCTTCAAGATTTGAGTCAGACATTATATATAGACAACTTAAGTTAGTTTACCTCCTTGTGATCATTTGTCTATTGTAGTCATTAAGTGAAATTTACCCAGTTCACACCCTCAGAATAGTGACTACAGGTTTCTCTGGTCACCAAAAAAAAAAAAAAAAAAAAAAAAAACCCTCCCTTGTTATCTTCACTCCCCCCACCCCACCCAAGCCCCCCCAAAAATACCCCACCCACCTTCACCCACAAACAAATTAAACAAAAAAGGAAAGTATGTAGAAGAAAAACATAATTTGGGTTTCTTAGCTTGAATATATTACCATATATGGTTTAGATGGAGATAAATTATATTGATGAAAAAGTTAAGAAATGAAAAAACTTACCAGTGGAAGTGATAAGTGGCTGGATATTTGCATGTTTAGAGAGTGCTTCCATGCATTCCTCCTTACTCATCTTGAACATTAGGCACTCTTCTATTAGGTGGTGCACCTGCAACAACACCACTAATTTCATTCAATTTCAACAACAACAATAATAATAATAATAATCCAATAAATATATAAAAATATATATATATTTCATTTTTTTTTTTTACTTACCATGTGGATATACTCAGCTGAAGCATCACCCATCTAGGATAGCTTCTTCTTCTTCTTTAATTTAAAAACAAAAAAATAAAAAAATTTCTAGACTTGTTTTTCCAAGAATGGAGAAGGTAGAGGAGAAGAGAATAGAATTGGAGAGAAAGAAAAGATGGAAAAGTTGAGAGTTTTCTGGGCAGGTTGGTGAAAAGAATTGAAATAACAACAAAGCCTAACGTTGATGGAAATATTATTTTAATCTAAAGATGGATATTTTTAGGGTTAAATAATAATAAAGTGGATGGTGACGTCATTGCTATGGTGGGCCCAGGAGTCCCACGTGGGAGGGGAGATGTGATTGGCTGGGAGAGGATTAGCGGAGATTTTATTATACAAACTGTCGTGGCCACCATGGCAACGGCCACGTGACGGATGTACAGCTATGCGCCCTCGTGGAAATGTCGGGCCCACAGAAAAGAACCCAGATTTTGGGCCCACCCCGCTGCCGAATCAGATGGGCCCGCCCGCCTAGGAGCCCACCGTAATTATCTGACGGCGATTATAACTGCCGTGACATCTTTCCCCACCGTTCCTTGACGGTGGCGCTATACTTCTGCTTCGTTGTCTTCCCACTCGCGATCACTCATGCTAAAAAATGGGAATTATATCTGTATTTTGACTTTCATAAAAATCAAAAGAAATTAATTATTATTGCTTTTCAATTTTTTATTTTGTTAACCTAGATTATCCCAATTTCATCGGACTAATTGTAAACCCGTAAAACCCCGCCCTTAGAGTCGTCTAATCAGTTCAACGATTATATCTTAGTCTTCATGTGGCACAAGGGATATAATCCATGCCTTTTAATATTCCTGAGCATTTTTCGCATACATGTTTCACATAGGATTCAAATTGAACTCCCACATTGCAGTCTCCAATCATGACTTTTAAGTCACATGAGAACTAACTATGCTTTACATTTTTTACTTTTACATTTAACGACTTGTACTTCATTAATGTGGGACTAATATAGATTTGGCTTCAATCGTTCCAGTCTTTTATCATTTATCATTTAACTTTACAATTGTATTTGTAACTTTACTCCAAAAAGTGTTGGGTTGAACAATTGCATTTTTAGTTCTAATGCTAAGTTATTATTAATTGTTTTGCATATGCATAGTTCTTAATAGGGGTGGACAATTCGGTTCGATTTACCCGAACCAACCGAGCTGAGCCGACCCGAACTAGTAATAAAAAATCGAACGGTTCAGAATTCTTGTAAATTGAATGATTCAATTAAAAATTGAACCAAACCAAACGGTTTGGCAAAAAATCGGACCGAACCGAACACCATTTGATTTTTTAATAATAATAATAATAATAATAATAATAATATAATAAAAGAAATAAATTCAAGTCCCTTGATGCCTGCTCCGCCATTCAGTTCCTATTCTCACTAGTATCTCTCTTAAATTTTTTATTTGATTTCTTTATAGCTTGTTATCTACTTTGCACTTTTGTTGTTTGTCGAATCGTTCTTTACCTCACAATTATATCTAACTTGAGTTATATTTACAATATTCAGTATTTTCCTTAGTTTCATGTTTTATAAATTTAATGTGTTTTACGCTCATTTTAATTTTGATTTTCAGTGCACTGAAATTATTTTCTAGTACTGGAATATATTTCGAGTGCACTGAAAAATAATATTCTAGTGCATTATCAATGACGGATTGTGTCAAAAAATTAACTATATAGTACTTGACACTTGTTCTTCTAATATTCTTCCCAAACTTGTTCTTCTAATATTAACTACACAGATAGATGATTATTCATCTTCTCAATATAATATTCCAAGTGAACCACCTGAAGAGTTGGTTGTGCAAAAAAAGTCAACTGATGCTTGATAATTAGTATATAGTATTGTATTTGAACTTTGAATTGCTATTTTGTTATATAATGTTTAGCCTTTAGATTTGGATTATATGTATTGTTTGGTAGTATGTTCGGAAAATTAGGAAATGTTAAAATTTGGGGATCTTAAACCGAAACCGAATCGTTTCAAACTGAACCAAAACCAAACCGAACTCTAATGTTAAACCGAAAAACTGAAACCAAAACTTAAAAAAATCGAAACGAAGCCCAAAACGCCCACCCCTAGTTCTCAAGTTTGTACTCAATATATATATATATATATATATATATATATATATATATATATATATATATATATATATATATATATATATATATATATATATATGTGTGTGTGTGTGTGTGTGTGTGTGTGTGTGTGTGTGTGTGTGTGTGTGTGTGTGTGTGTGTGTGTGTGTGTGTGTGCGCGTGTGTGTGTGTGGTTCTCAAGTTTCGAATAAAATTTTGATTATTTTTTCATAACCCATAGTTAAAAGATTATGAACAACAAACTCACAGCTCTGTCGGGTCGGAGTATAGGGACTTTAGGGTTGGGGATTCAACTTTTTGGGAGAAGAATATGAGCAACAAACGCAACTAACCCGGAAAAGAACAAATTTGTTATTAAGTAAATTTTCACGTGAATATGTGGTATATTTAGCAACTAAAGAAAAACGTTTTTCTTTTTCTTTGACAAAGCCAAACAAAGGCAACCATAATTGTCTTCACATAAAGTTTACTCTTTTAAAATTCATTTCTTTTGCTAGATTATCGCTAGAGAAGGTTGTTTTCTTCAACAAGGATAGTTGTTGGACTTTCACCTCATTGCTAAATGGCAATTTAAGATGTGACAAATGCCATACCAATTTTACACATAGAAATTCATTGACAAATCGTGATAAGCTAATTCTCATTGGAAATTTTGTGGTATAAATATATGTGAGGTCCATTTCTGATTTGGGTTGAGTCAAAGTGGATTCAGATTCTTTTAAGTGAGAAAAAAATCGATATATTGTACGCTTAAAAATGATAATAAGGTGAATGAGAAATTGATTCTCAAAATAAACCAATTTGAGTTGAAAACGGAGATGGGAAGACTTAGCTTTGAAGTAATCTTTGTCACACATTGAAAATGAATGTGTGTTTGCACTAGTGTATATATACATACATATATATATATACATATATATATATATATATATATATATATATATATATATATATATATATATAATCGCACTCAGGTGCGAATGCTTCGCCCAGGTGCGAAATAGGAATGGATTCTGCCCGTCCACGTGTCCAGATCTAATGGATGAGAAACACTGATATTTTTAAAAAAGTGCGGTGGCATTTTCGTAAATAATTGAACATCGAAGTGCAAGTAAAATGTATTACAAGTGCATGTAAAATGTATTATAGGTGCAAGTAAAAATTTACACTGAGCATCAATACTAAGTACACCTATAGTTATAAGTAGTTGCACCTATAGTTCTAAGTAGTTGCACACATAGTTAAAAGTAGTTGCGCACATAGTGCATGAATGTTTGCGGGTGGTTTTTAGGGATATTACTACACGCTGAACTCAGATCAATGAATGTTAACAAGACAAAACTACATGCACTTATAGGTGAGAGTAGATGCACCTATAGTTATAAGTAGTTGCACTTATAGTTATAAATAGTTGCACCTATAGTTATAAGCACACCCAGGTGCATGAATGTTTGCGGGAAGTGACTGCTAACAAGGCAAAATTACATGCACTTATAGGTGAAAGTAGGTGCACTTGTAAGTGATTTTACTTGCACTTCGATGTTCAACTATTTACGAAAATGCCACCGCGTTTTTTTTTAAGTTATTAGATCTGGACACCTGTCGCACGCTGATTCGTTCGCATATTCCTCCCTGGGCACTTATTCGCACCTGAGTGCATCCCTATATATATATATATATATATATATATATATATATATATATATATATATATATATATATATATATATATATATATATATATATATATATAATTTCCTTTTTGAAAGGATATAATTTCCCTTTAGAAGTAGCTTGAATTGTATAGTATAAATGATATTTCTTACATGCAGGAGGAGGGTGCAAATCGACACATACACACATAAAAAGATAATTATGGTCAATTATGAATTAATTGTACTAAGACCCCCTTGCTTATAGCACCATTTCATTTTTGGAAGTGGGTAGCGAATTGATTTTAAGGAAAATATATTTACACACGACTTGAATTTCCTTTGGGCTTAATTATTTTCGCAGAAATTATAATTCCCACTATTTTTTATTCACAATAATTCTGTGGTTACTTTATGGTAATTTGCTACTAATAACTGAATTGGACTTTTTTTTTTTTTCCAAGTTCAATTATATTGAATATTTGTGATTGTATATTCACCGTTTTAGAAAAATAAAATTTACAATTTATGAAGGATAAACATTCAAGTAAGCCAAATATTCATTATTTGAATATTAGCTACTAGGTATAATTTTTTCAATATTTTTCTTAAGAGTTAATTCTAGCATTGATCCTCCGACTATTGTAATTTTCTAAAATTGGTCCTTGTCTTTTAATTTGGACAAAATAGACCCTTGACTATCAGATCTGTTCCAATAATGGTCGTTCCGTTAAATGTCAGTTTGGTTGGCGTTAATTATAGGGGTATTAAAGTCATTTCTTTCCTGATGAATTTCGAATCAGTACAACGTAGAATTTTGATACGTAATTCCATATCAGCACAGATCGGAGGACTTTGACTTCGCAAGAAACCCTCCACGAATCGCTCTAATGCAGAAGGCTCACGGACCGGGATGGAGCGACCGGCAAGAGCCCTTCACGTCGTCGCCGTCGAGACCGTGCTGGTTCCACTGGTGATCAATGGGCTCCAGGTTTCCGGCGAACACCAGCAGGCTAGGAACGGTAGCAAAGACACCAGCTCATATATTCTCCTCTTCCGTTGAACCTCCATCCACCTCTCGATTTTGCTCCGGTAATTCCCATCTCGCCATTGCCGGAGATCTATCACCATCTCGCCATCCCGATTCAGCCCCTGCCGTTCCAATACTTTGGCGCCTAAAAAAACCCAAACCCACCACCGTCCTCTCCCTCATTAATCTCCAGAAAACTCCTAATCCCAACACACCCAAACAACACTAATCCAATAATCAAAACAAAAACAACCATACAAGTATTCATATTCAATTCTTACAATATGGGTTTTCCAAGAATCCCCAATCCCCTCCCTATCTCTCTTTCTTTGTCGCTATAATGATCTACAGAGACAACATTGTTTAACGCAGAAAGAGGAGAAGAAGAAGAATGTGAAAGGTCAATTGAGAGAGAGATACAGTGGAGTAAGAATTAAAGGACGATGGGAGTTATGGAAATGGTGAAAAAGGAAAAGCTTTAAATTAAAGGAAATGACTTGAATACCCCCTACTTAACACCAACTAAACTCTTGTTTAACGGAAGGACCATTATTGAAACAAATTTGATAGTCTAGGGTTTATTTTGTCCAAATTAAAAGACGAGGACTAATTTTGGAAAATCGCAATAGTCGGAGGACCATTGCTGAAATTAACTCTTTTCTTAATAACATTTTCTTTTGTGTGTGTGTGTGTGTATATATATCTATCTACTATCTACTATACTAATAAGAGCCCAAGAGAGTTAGGCCTATAATGGGTAGAAAAAATGGCGGTCATAGATTTTAATCAAATGAATGGTTCAGATTGATTGAAAGATGGAGCCCACACACCGTTACTAATTCCGTTAAAATTTTAAGAATTGCCGTTAGTTCACCGTTAACTTACTCATTGATTTCAATAGAAAAAGGTCTTAGGTTCAAATCTCATCCCAATCAAAGGTGGCATTATTAGTACTCTATTTTACTCTTATTAAATTATATAAATAATAATTTAGTAGTTACAACAAAAAATAATACATATGCATTTCTTTAATTTATAATTATGTTTCTACAATGCCTTTATTCAAAAAAAAAAATTATTCATTATCAATAAATTAACTAAGAGAAATAATTTTATTAGTTATATTGTCTTTATTTTTCTTCAATATAAAAATTTTTTATATTCAAATTTATTAATTGATTATATTCGCTACATTATCCTTACAATGTCTTTATTCAGTGAAAAAAATTTATTAATTATCAATAAATTAATTAAAAAATATTTTCATTAGTTATATTGTCTTTATTTTTCTCAAATGTAAAAATTTTTACATTCAAATTCATCAATTGATTATATTCACTACATTATCTATTATCTTTTTTGTGCACTATTTTTCTAATTAAATATCAAAGTTATAATACAAAATAATGCTATATATTTATTTACCACGTATTTTATTAATACCACGAAAAATTTAAAAAAATATAATTAATAAAGCCAACCATATTAACTACTTGAAAGATTTTGTGACAAAGAGAGTATTCAAATCACACAACAAATTGAAGTGAGAACTACCTTGCAATGTCCTTGTTTGACAATCAGCAGTTAGGGGTTAGCGTTAGCGGATTATACTAGCGGATTTGACCAGCGAATTTATTTAATTATTAACATTGGGTAGAAAAAATGACCGCCAAATTATTAAATCAAATGAATGGTTCATATTGTTCAGGTTTTAACTTTTTTCTTTTAAGATTTTCTAATTTATCCTTAATTATATGATTATCCATTTAATTTTTCCGTTAATTCACCGTTAGTCTAATTCTAATATTAAAGTCTAATATAGAATTATAACTACACCATTAATCTAATTCTATTATTAAAGTCTTAATAGAACTTAACCACAAATCCTAATGTCGGAATCTCCTCAAACAATATTAGTATATATTTAATATTTTATGCCCTAATTTTTATTTGTTCTCCCTTATGTTTCGTATTTGGTTTCAACCATACCTATACAATTATTTTATTGACAATTATAATCAATCTTGACTATATTATCTTGCATTTGTAAACTTAGAATTACCTATTTAACCCGCACCGGCTTAGCTCAATGGTTTAGTGGGTAGTATTTGGGAGAAGAGACCAAGGTTTGAACTTCGCGGCGGCAGTGCGGGAATTATGTCTAAAGTGGGCAGATTCCTTGTGCGTATCAGCATTTACAACCTCCCACAATACTCTGTCGGGTCGGAGTGTGGGGGGCCCTTGGGGTTGGAGACTCAACCCTTGAGAGAAGAATTACCTATTTAAATACGCAAATTCAACTTTCAATTATCTATGCATGAACAATTTCAATATAATCCTGCCTTAATATACTTTAAAGTACTTATTTAAAAAAAAAAATTAAGCATTATCTCAATCGCGCAATACGCGTAAAAAACTAGTGTATACACACAAAAGAATTGAGGATGAAAATCACTATTCCGCTGGGCCCCCAAAAATTGAGATACCTTGTGCCGGCGAGGGTTTGAGGAAATGGAGATTGGGGGTTTGTACTTTCCATGTAGACAGGTAGTGTTGAGGCGATTATAGAACTAATTGAGTGGACTGCCCAAGAGATTTGTGGGAATTAATTTCCAGTCTTAGCTTATCACAACCAAACTCCCATTCTTAGAAATAGGAGACCTTTCATCCGTAAAGAGCTTTGTCTCTTTTCTATTGCCATTCATTTTGTTCCATCATATGTTTTTTTTTTTTTTTTTTTTTGAAAATCAAAGACTACTGCATTAACTTAAATCCGCAAGAAGAGAATTACAAATGATAGAGGGAGGATTTGAAAACCACTCCGAGCAATCAGACAAAGAAACAGACTGCCTAGCTAACAAATGAGCCGCCTGATTCGCAGACCGCTTAGTGAACACTAAACTACTTTGAGCAAACAAGCTCATTAAGTTTTTAATATCACCTAAAATAACATGAAAGTAAGAGTCTCCTGAAGTAGAGTGATAATTCTGGACAACTTGTAGGGAATCAGACTCGATTACCACTTTGTTGAGAGTGACAGATTTGAGCCATGTTAAGGATTCTCGTATCGCCATTGCTTCAGCCTCTTTGGCCATGTATGTACCTCTCCATTTAGCCCCTCTAGCAGCCACGAAACATCCTTGGTCATCACGTAAAACATGGATATCATTTCCCAAATGCCTAAATTTTAAATAAATGTTATAATTTTTCATTATTTTTATTTTTGTTTTTGTTTTTGGGTTTTGTGAGTACGATGAGAATC